TGGGAGGAGGGGCAGGGGAAGGGGGAGTGGAGATGGGTTTACATTTCAAGTCTCTGCTTCTACTGCAATTTTCTTTCTCTGCAAACGCTGCTTTTGCTATTAGAAAAGCCAGTGCTTCCATATCACTCTAGTTCCACCTCCTCCTTGAAGCCTCCCTAATTCCAGCCCATGAGGACCTTTCTGCCTTTGAATTCCTGTGGTACAATCTTCCGTCGCATTATTTACAGGAGGCAGCAGGGCGCCTAGAAACGGGCTCTGGAGGCGGCTGTGTGCCCTGGTTTGCTCCTGGGCACATGGCCTTGGCCGGCTCCTCCACATCCCTACCCCACAGGGCCCTGGGAGGAACCCCAGACGGCAGATGTCAGTATTTACCCCGAGCTGGACTCGTCCTAGGCACTGGCATGGGCGTAGGTGTGACTGGTACTGCGTTGTTCTGCAGAAGAACATGAATCAATATTCTTGTCTTTCCAACTGACAGGCCAGGACCCCACACCTGCAGAGCGCCAGTCCCGGGCTGGGGACCTCCCAGATGCACTCGAAGTGCCCCTCCTGCTCTTTTCTTATTTTTTCTTTTTTGAGAGAGAATCTCACTCTGTCTCGCCCAGGCTGGAGTGCAGTGGTGCAATCTCAGCTCACTATAACCTCCACCTCCCGGGTTCAAGGGATTCTCCTGCCTCAGCCTCCTGAGTAGCTGGGATTACAGGCATGCGCCACCACGCTTGGCTAATTTTTGTATTTTTAGTAGAGACGCGGTTTCACCATGTTGGCCAGGCTGGTCTCGAACTCCTGACCTCAAGTGATCTGCCCGCCTCAGCCTCCCAAAGTGCTGGGATTATAGGTGCGAGCACCACACCCAATTTTTGTATTTTTAGCAGAAACGGGGTTTCACCATCTTGGCCAGGCTGGTCTCAAACTCCTGACTGTGTGATCCACCCGCCTCGGCCTCCTCCTCCTTTCTCCCAGGGGTACCAGGCACAGGAGTTCCCTGCCCAGACGGCTGTAAGATCAAGGAGGCATAAGCTCCCCTGATGCCATAAGCTCCCCAGCTGCTTCTCCAACCACTGGCCACACCAGGCCCCCTGCCTCGGCTGGGGAACGTCCTGACAAAGGCCTGAGATGTGGGGCCCCGAACAGGGGAGGGAGTAGGGTCTTCCCCGCACACTGTCCACAGAGATGCCTTGGCTGAGGGACTTAGCCTCAGTACCCCTGAGTCCTCATCTGTAAAACGGGGAGGAGGGACTGTCACTCTCCTTGGAGGGAAAGGACCGGGATCACACGAGGAGATGACTTTGGGGAGGGCCTCCAACAGCACCAGTGCCGAAGTCTGTCTGTCGCTAAAGGCCGCCCCACCCAAGCCCGCCGCTTCCACTCCTGCCCCACTGCCCCATCAGGCGACCAGCGCTGAGGCCGAAGGGTCCCTTGTTTTCTCTAGAGGGGCCGCTGGGAGGGGCTTAGAGAGAAATGGGGGCCCCAGAGGCAGGTGTCTTCCTCCTGCCTTTCCCTCAGGCCCCCTGAACATCCCAAGGGCTGGGTCCTGTTTCAAAGCCACCTCTGGCTGTGTCCGGGAGCCCGACTACATTCCAGATGCTGGTGCCAGTTCCCTTCCTTAGACGGGAGGCCGGATGGGAGGCAGGGACATGCCATGGGCACAGACCGTTCCGTGGCTCCATGGGGCCTGGCTTTGCGTGAAAGCTCCGTTTGGACTCTTCACCAGCCTGGCCATCCACGGTGGCTCTGAGGGCAGTCAGGGTGCGAGACTTTCTGAGCCACGGCGCGCCCCTGGGGACGACGCCTCCCCCACCTGAAGCAAGGCTGGTGAGAGGGCCCGAAGCAGAGGGCCAGGGCCCGGCCTGGGAGCGCTGAGTGCCGGGACTTCAAAGTCCTCCAGGGCACTCGGGCTCTGAACCGCCCGCTCACAGGCCCAGGTCAGCTGGCAGCTGGGAGGTTTGTGTTTCTTTTAATATCAACTCCCAGGCATTTAATGTTCCTCGAAGCTTAAACACAGAAACGTGTTCCTTACCAGACCCTGCCTTCTGCTTTGCCAATCATAACCTGGCTTCCCCGCCCCCCGCCGCCTCCATCTGCTCTTGTCTCCAGGATGCTTGCAGTGATGGATGGTGTGTTACCCCCGGGGCGCACGCAGTTGAGTGAGGAGGAGGAAAGCACTGGGGCTGAAGGAGCTGAGGTCTGGAGGGGCTGGGGCCCACCGTGCCCGAAAGCTGGCTGGCCGGCACGCCCTCTTAACTCTTCTATTCCACGGCCACCATGGCCAGGGAGTGCGGTGTGGCGGCCACTCCTGTCTCTTGCCTAGGGGTCACCTTGGGCCGGATGGGCCAGCCCAGAACCCCTCCATGCCTGTCCCTCTAGCCCAGCCCAGGGACAGGGAGATGGGGCTCCCATCCCTTATCCCTGCAGAGAGCGGCTTCCAGGGGCTGGATTTCTAGGGCCCATTTCCCAGATAACGGAGGACTGGCTGGTGGTGGCCGAGCAGCCCTGTCTCCCTAGCAGCGAGCATTAGGCAGAGACGTGTTCAGGAACATGGGGCGGACGCAGGGGAGGCCAGGCCCCTTCCTGGGGGCCCCCAGTTCCAACGCCAGAGCCTGAGACAGGGCAGGAGTGGGAGACCTACACAGCTCCCCAGTGGCAGTGCTACCAGCACCTCTAGTTAAGAGCCAGACACCAAACTCGGTGGCCTTGACAGTGCATCTCAGGACAAACACTTCCCACAAAAAAGCATCATCCACTCCCTGTTGTAGACGGAGCCGTCACAGCCTGCACCCGGATGGCCTCTGGGCCACTGTGAAGCCCAGCACCGCCAACGCCTGAGGCTCCATCCCAGTTCGCATCCGTTCCCATCTCCCCGGATTGCATGCTCACAGAATCTACCTCCAAACCAGACCACCGTGGCACAGCACAAGGCCACCAAGGTGCCAGACAGGAGCGGGGATGGCTCCGTGCTGAATGCAACCACCGCGCCCCACCCCCCACGCACCTTTTCCCACTCCCAAGCCTGGTTCTCTTAATGGGCTGGTGAATAGCAGCCATCTTCAAAATGGGCAGAATGTTTTAGAGTTACAGGCGGCACACAAAGGCATAGAGGCTCTTTTTTTTTTTAGAGACAGGGTCTCGCTCCATCACCCAGGATTGATCTTGGCTTGTTGCAACCTCCGCCTCCCAGGTTCAAGCGATTCTCCTGCCTCAGCCTCCCGAGCAGCTGGGATTACAGGCACCCGCCACCACGCCAGGCTAATTTTTGCATTTTTAGTAGAGACGGGTTTCACCATGTTGCCCATACTGGTCTCCAACTCCTGACCTCAGGTGATCCACCTGCCTCGGCCTCCCAAAGTGCTGAGATTACAGGGTGAGCCACTGCGCTCAGTGGCATAAATGCCGTTCGCCTGAGGCGCAGCCTCTGCCAACACCCACTAACACCCAGAGTCCACACCCGAAGCCACGGACTCCCAACGCAGTGGGGTGAGGTCCAGCAATGCTCAAAACAAGTCAGAGATGCCCCTCACCCACCCCCGCGCCCGCCCCCACTCCCCAGCAGGACCCTGGGTCCTGGCAGAACAGCAGACGCGCGAGCCATGCGCCTCACTCCACCCCACGTCGATGGCGGACACTGCCCATCACACAGACTCTCCCCTCCTGCTCACCGACGCGCCTCAGACCTTTCTCAACACGGCGTTCCGGGAAAAAGCACCCAGAGACTAAAGCTGGGTGTGAAAGCAGCGAGTCGTTTTCATCCCGAGAAAGTGTGGATGACCCGCCTGGGGAGTTGGGCACACCTGGGCCGCGGAGTGTGGACGACCCGGGCACACCTGGGCTGCCGGGCACAGTCAGCAGCCGCCTCCAGCAGGGGTGCAGCACTCCAGCTGGCTTGGAAGCAGAATCACACAGGAGCACGCTCCTCGGCCAGGATTCCACCAGCCTCACCCCGGGCCCGGCCTCCCCCACAGTCGCCCCGGCCCAGCCTCACCTGGATCTGCCCCTTGCCCATGATCTTGTCCACGATCTCGTTGTTGTCCTTGTTGACCTTGCTCTTGTCATAGCACTTCTCATAGCACAGGATCCTCAGGGACTGAGACCCCTCCAGCTCGATCTCAAACTCCTGCGGAAACACGGGACAAAGGGCCCTGAACTTCCCCGGCACGGAGACCTGGCTTTCGGCAGGTGTGGGCCTCAGCTCTGTTAGGAGGAGGGAGTCGGCACAGCCTGCACAGAACACACCAGATTTCCCAGGGCTGTGAGGCCTCGCATCCCTCATGGAGACTGCGGGGATTGAGCCGGCACTGCAGGGTCTGATGCCCAGACACACACGGTGATCGCACGCCAGAGGAGCCAGGAGCAGAGAGCGGGGAGTGGATGGAGCTGGTCCGGCAACAAACCGGCTTTCCGTCCCCGGCAGACAGGGCACGAGCACGGGGCGGTGGGGCACACTCAGTGCAAACTCGGGGGTCCCTGCACAGACGCCAGCCCCGCCACTCACCCCATCTCACCACTGGGCGGTGGGGCACACTCAGTGCAAACTTGGGGGTCCCTGCACAGACACCAGCCCCGCCACTCACCTCATCCCACTTGGGCTCTGCTGTGTCCCGGAACACCCTGGTTTTGGCTTTGCTGACAAAATAGCCGAAGGAATCCACCTCCAGGGTACAGTACAGGTCTGCAGGGGAAGGACAGGCAGAGATGCGAGTGAGGCTGAGAGCCTGGGAGTGGGGCCAGGGCCGGACACGCCATGCTCAGGAAGGAGGACACCGTGTCTGTCCCTTACATCTCAGCTTTCTCCTCCCTGAATTCTGGTGCCATCTGGCTCCTCCTGCTCCCCTGCCCCCTTCTCAGGGGGCTCTGCCCTCCCTCCCTCAGCCCACCCCACACTCTGGCCTCCTCTTCCCTCTAAAGGGTCCTCAAACGTGCTGTCTCCAAATCTCCCTCACCGTGGAGACATCACCGCAAAGTCTTCACCGACCCGCCTGGTGCCACCTCTCCCCATGACACTGGTGCCCAGGTCTCAGCAGCAGCACCTCGGGTGGGCGGTGCTGGAGGCGCTGAGCGACCCTGCCTCCAGGTCCTGAATGCCTGCAGCAACCCTTGCGGCTGTGACGAACAGTGACACCCCAAACCCCCAGGCCCGGCGCCGAGGTTCCCTCCACTGCACTCAACATCAACTAAAGGGACCTTCGCTTCCTGAGTGTCCTGTCTCTCTCCCTGCAGGACGTAAACACCAGGTGAAGAGAAGCCTTGGGCTTTCCTGCCCGCCGGTGCACCCGAAGGACCACGAACAGGGCTGGGTACCCAGCCGGCACATGGCAAGTGAAGCCCCCAGCCTGCTCCCCGCCGCCCCCATGCCACCCCGCCCAGTGCTCCAGGTAACAAAGCGGTGAAGACAGGGGCGGGAGGGCAGGGCCAGGGGCTTTTCCATGTGGAACCTGGAATTCAGGCTGAAAATCTATCTTGGGACCCACCTGCTGAGCCCACAGTGCTGGCACGGACCCCAGGCCTCTGCAAACCACACCTGCCCTGGGCTCAGAACCGGCAGTCCCCCGCCTCGAGGGGAGCTGCTGAGCTTGTTCCCAGGAACTAGAGGCAGTGTCAGGGGAGCCTTTGGGATACTAGGCCAACCCTCTGTGGTGTGAACCAAGGGGACAAGGGGCGGAGGTCAGAGGGCGGGCACACGTGCAGGTGGCGCACTCCACTTGGCCCCTGGAGCTGTCCAGCTGGGCCGGTCTCCATTAGACAGGCTGGATGCGGTCAGTTATGCCTGTCATCCCAGCACTGTGGGAGGCTGAGGCGGGCCAATCACCTGAGGTCAGGGGTTTGAGACCAGCCTGGCCAACATGGTGAAACCCCGTCTCTATTAAAAATACAAAAATTAGCCAGGCGTGGTGGTGGATGCCTGTAATCCCAGCTACTCGGGAGGTTGAGGCAGGAGAATTGCCTGAACCTGGGAGGCGGAGCTTGTGGTGAGCCGAGATTGCGCCACTGCACTCCAGCCTGGGCAGCAGAGTGAGACTCCATCTCAAAAAAAAAAAAAAAAAAAGCAGCTTTCCCACAGAAGGGAGAGTGCAGCTGCTCCAAGAAGCCTCCGGCTGGGGCAACAGGAAGGAGACCGGGGTGGGTATCAGACCACAAGGAGCATGGCTGTGGGTTCGCAGGACATTGCAGAGGTGCTGAGCAACCCGGCCTGGCCCTGACCTGGGAGGGGCTGTGAGTCTGGGATGAGCCGTGAAGCGCTGTCTTCACGACTGATCTTGGTGTGAGCAAACCCCCCTTCTGGGGCTGGGGGACAGCTCCCGGGGCCAGAGTGAGGGCTCCAGAGTCAGACTGTCTGGGTCCACATCCCGCTCTGCACACGTCACCTGACTTCTCTCCCAGGTTCCCCATCTGTACTACAGGAACGGCCTTGGTGCCAACACCCTGTCCGGAGGCCGTGAGTTTAGTGGGACATGAAGCCACGCTGCAGATACAGGGCCTCACCTCTGAGTGAGAACAGACATGTGAAGGGTGGGGTGGGGGAAGGGAGTGAGGATGCTCTGGGCGTAAGGAGAGCCTCCGGAGCAGCTTGGCTGGGTTCTGGCACCTGCCCAGGCTGGGAGGCAGAAGGCCTGCGGCATGCCATTGCTGGGCTCCCCGAGGTGAGGACCTCCCGGCCCACGGGCAGCAGGAGAGGGAGGAGGGCGGCATCCGGGTGCTGCAGAGACACGGGCGGGCGGCACAGTCCCGAAGCACTCACTAGCCAGACGCGCCTCAGTAGCAGCCCCCCGGAAGGGGAGTCTGTGGGTTTCGAGAGATTCAGGAAGCTTCCACCTTAACCAGCCACCCCAGTGACGGTGCGGAGGTCCTGGCCAGACTTTGAGAAGCATCCTAAAGGGAAGAGCTCGGGCTCTGGGCCCGGAAGACGTGGACTCTGCTGCATCACCTGCTACCGTGCGACCCCAGGAAGGACCCGGAACCCTCTGAGCCTCAGCACCCTCGTGGGTAAAACGGGATGGTTTTTGTGACGTCGGCAGGATGCCGGAGGCTCAGAGCAGGCCATGAGCCCAGAAGGCTTTGAACCCGCCACAGGCTTTGATGCGCGTGCTTGCCCACACCCGGCTCACACACAGCCCACGCCGGCCCACACACAGCCCACATCGGCCCACACTCAGCCCCCACACAGCCCATGCCAGCCTACACACAGCCCACACACAGCCCACGCCGACCTACATGCCGGCCCACACACAGCCCAC